ATTCAAAGTTTCAAACTTTGGTATACAGGAAAAGTAAGTGCACGCAATGGAGTAGGCATCATTATAGATAAGGAGTGGAAGAAGAACGTTATAGAAGTTAGCAGAATTGGAGACAGAATTATTTCCTTAAAAATAATAATTGGACGTGAGACTGTTAATATTGTTAGCGCTTATGCACTATAAGTCAGGACAAAAGCCAGTCTTAAGGAATTATTTTAGGAGGATCTGGAAGGGTTGATTCGACACATACCACAGAGTGAAAAGATCTTTATTGAAGGAGACTTTAATGGGCATGTCGGGAGGGAAGCTGGTCAGTATGCGAGGGTGCATGGTGGTTTTGGTTTTGGAGAGCTAAACAATGAAGGACAAACTCTTCTTAATTTCTCATTGGCGTATGATTTTAAGATTGCCAACACTTGTTTCAAGAAGAGAGATGAGCATCTCATCACTTACAAAAGTGAAGCCTCAAGGTCACAGATTGATTTTCTTTTGGTTAGGAACACAGATAGAAGACTTTGTAAAAATTGCAAGGTGATCCCCAGAGATGCTGTAATGACACAACATAGGGTCCTAGTCCTTGATGTGTGTATTTTGAGTAAAATCTAAAAACGTCGGCAAGTAGTAGCACCAAGGATTAGGTGGTGGCAATTAAAAGGTGAGAAGCAAGATATTTTCAAGCGAAATCTTTTGGATAAAGGAATTTGGGAATTTCAGAGAAGTGCTAACATCATGTGGGAGGATATGGCTAAAAAGATACGGGAGGTTGCAAAAGTGGTTTTGGGAGAATCAAAAGATTTTGGTCCGAGAGATAAGGAGTCTTGGTGGTGGAATAATAGTGTACAGGACAAAATCAAGTATAAGAAGAACTGTTTTAAAGCCATACATTTGTGTAACAATGAGGAAAATTGGGAGAGGTACCGTATGGCTAAGAAAGAAACTAAGAGAGCTGTGGGTGAAGCTCGTTCTAAAGCTTTTTAAGAGCCTTGAGACGAAGGAAGGAGAGCAAAATATTTATAAGATTGCCAAGAGTAGGGAAAGAAAATCAAGAGATCTATAACATGTAAGGTGTATTAAGGATGAAGAGGGAAGAACTTTAGTTACAGATGATGAAATTAAAAATAGATGAGAGATTTACTTTTCTAAACTTTTCAATGATGGAGTTTAGTAACTGGTGAAGGAGAATAAAATTTGTCATTCTATCGAATAATACATGATAAAGAGGTAAAGGAAGCTCTTAAGAAAATGGCAAATGATAGAGCCAACGGACTTGATTGTATATCTATCGAAGCGTGGAAATGTTTAGGTGAAGAAGGGATGAGATGGTTAACTAAGTTATTTAATGTGATTTTACGGTCCAAGAAAATGCCTGATGAGTGGAGGAGAAGTACATTAATTCCTATTTATAAAAATAAAGGAGATATTCAGAATTGTACTAACTATAGAGGGATTAAACTCATGAGCCACATAATAAAATTGTGGGAGAAAGTAATTGAACACAGGTTGAGATTGGAGACAAGTATTTTTGAGAATCAGTTTGGTTTTATGCCAGGTAGATCAACTACAGAGGCGATTTATCTACTAAGGGGATTAATGAAAAAGTATCGTTGTAAAGATAAAGATCTACACATGATTTTTATTGATTTGGAAAAAGCTTATAACCGTATACCAAGAGAAGTGCTTTGGAAAGCGTTAAAAAAAAGGGAGTACGGATTGCTTATATTAAAGCTATACAAGATATGTATGAGGGGGTAAAAACTAGTATAAGAACGCCTAGTGGTCAAACAAAGGATTTTCCTATAAAGATTGGACTACATCAGGGATCATCTCTGAGTCCTTATTTGTTCAATTTGATCTTAAATGTTTTAACAAAACATATTCAAGGGGAAATTCTAAAATGTATGCTTTTCGCGGATGATATAGTTCTTATAGCAGAGACAAGAGAAGAGGTTAATTGCAAACTTGAGTTATGGAGGAGGACATTGGAGTCAAAAGGTTTTTGTCTGAGTAGAAGTAAGACGGAATATTTATATTGTAAATTTGGTAAAGGACTATTCGATAATAATTTGAAAGTGAAATTGAGAGACCAAATTATACTTCAAGTGAAAAAGTTTAGATATTTGGGAGCCATTATTCAAAATGATGGCGAAATCAGTAGAGATATTTCACATAGAATTCAAGCTGGGTGGTTTAATTGGAGAAAAGCTAAAGGAGTTATTTGTGACCGTAAGGTGCCTAATAAACTTAAAGGTAAGTTTTATCGCACTGCTATCAGACTGGCAATGTTATATAGTAGTGAATGCTGGGCTCTAACGGGACAGCAAGAGCATAAAGTTAGAGTAGCAGAGATGAGAATGTTACGATGGATGTGCGGACATACACGTAAAGATAAAATTCGAAATGAGCACGTATGCAAAAAAGTGAGGGTTGGCACCTATTGAGGAAAAAATGGTAGAAAATCGGTTGAGATGGTTTGGGCATGTACAAAAAAGACCAAGGGAGGCACCAGTGAGAAAAGTGGAACATATAACTTTGAGTCCGATTAAGAGAGGTAGAGGAAGGCCTAAGAGAACACTCTTGGAAGTTATTGAACGCGATCTCTTAATTAATAATATTCCTAAAAGCTTGATAAATGATAGAGCACGATGGCGTCTTGCAATCCATATAGCCAACCCCACCTAGTGGGATAAAGGCTTGTTGTTGTTGTTGTTGTTGTTTTGTTGTATCAATTCTCATATTAAATCTAGTAACGCCACAAAAAAGAAAGTATCTTAAAATTTAAAATCCTCCCTCATTGATATGTTTCATTCAATAATACCAATAAAAGATACTTTTGCAAAAAATGAACGGTTGTTGGTTAATCTCTTTCACGAAAGAACAAAGAAGTTATTGTGAATGGCCTCCCAATATTGAAAATACAAGTCCTTCTTCTTAGGACCATGCATGTTTAATCAACTAAACAGTTTAGAAAATTATTTTAGAATTATGAAATTCTTCATATATAATAAATATTTTCTAGCCAATGATATTGACTACTGTATCATTATCATTATTATTCATTTCATGTGAGCAAGAGCGGATTCAAGATTTTTTGTTTAGGGGGTCGAATTACAATTCATGTACAATAACTGGAGAAAAATTATGTGTGGGTGTATAACATAACATAACATAAATGCTTCAATATATTCAAAATCAATTTTAAAAATATATAACTAAAATAAACATGTATTTTCTTTTCTTTAAGTATTGCTCCTCGATTCATAACATAAACGTCATCAATAACCATGTCTGCGGTAAATTTTCAACAATTTTTTCTTAATATAAACTATAATCAAATTAGTGAAAAAATTATCTTCCATCTTTTTGGGAGCATTGTTTTTATAGTTTTAAGTTATAGCTAAAAAAACTCGTTCAAGTTGTCATTGACAATGAAAGAGTTAGTAAAGCCTTTGTAATATGTTAATCAAACGATAAAAATTAAACTTTCCATCCTCTTGAAAACTTCGGATACAATTCACCCGTAATGGTCAAGTTATGAAAATTGGTATTTTTGAATTTTGAGTATATCAAGCTCATAATGTTTTAATTCATATTCTAATTAAATCTTCTGTTGGTCAAAAAAAATTGTTGAAGAGTAAAATTTCTCAATAAAATTGTAGATGTTCTTTCTATTGAATGTTACAAATGTATCTTTAGGATTCAAAACTGTGCTCAATTTAAAAAGTTATGTTGCTAATTGCTCAGTTAATCTATTATTTAATTCTTTTAATTTTTAATCTAGGAAAAATAAAATATAGCAACATGATAATTGATAATCTTTTCATCAACAAAACCAAATTATATCAAAGTAAAACACAATTCATAACAAGAATTTCAATAGTTTTGTTGTTACAAAAAGAACTTTTTTCTAGAAGACCATCCTAGCAGCCATAATCTTTTAACACTTGAATAAGTCATTATTAAAGTTTAGTTTAAGTTAAATTTTATTAGTATCAAAGGGAGCTAAAAATATATAAATATTACAATTTATTGAGAAAAAAATTAAAAAGTTAGGAGTGCCTATAGCTTTTGCTAGTCTCCACTTATCTCCACCATTGTATGTCAACATGAGATATCATTGACCATTTTTAATTCACTCTAGCAAAAGGTGTTCGTCATCCATTTAGACTGTGTAAATTGATTTCTTAACAACCAAAATTTTATTTAATTTTTAAATATTTCAAGTAACTTATTATTTTAATATACATTAAATATAAAATAAAGATATTTTTTAATTATCAATTCTCATATTAAATCTAGCAAAGCCACAAAAAAGAAATTATCTTAAAAATTTAAAATCCTCTCTCGTTGATATTTTCCATTCAACAATACCGTTAGAAGATCCATGTGGAAAAATGAATGGTTGTTGGTTAGTCTCTCTCTTTCATGAAAGAACGAAGAAGTTACTGTGAATGGGCCTACATATTGAAAATACAAGTCCTTCTTAAGACCATCCATGTTTAATAAACTAAACAGCTTAGAAAATTATCTCGTAATGTTGAAATCAGGGCTGCACACAAAGAACTGAATAAGATTGAATTTTAAACTAACTTAAAATTTGATTTTTTTTATGAAAAGAATTAGGTTAGACAACTCATAATTTAATTTGATTTAGTTGTAATTCAAAAAATAACAGGATTAAACTTGATCCATAAGACTGAAAGATTAGATTGTTCTCGATAGTTTAATATTCATTTAACTTTTTTTTTTCTTTTTTCCTCTAATATTATACATGGTGAACTTTTCTGGCAACTTTCTATTTAAACATTAAAAAAAAAGGTAGACTTTTCCAAGAAAGAACAGAGATGTTGCTGTTGCCCTCCCCTTCAGTCTAAACCAGAATATTCCAACGCGCAAAGTAGTCAAAGTATTCTCTCAGTCAATCTAAACCAGCTTCACTGTATCGCTGCCGATCAAACTTTCTTCTCTCTCAATTTTCTAAGCAATACCTTTGAGTTCTGAAACAAAACAAGGCATGGAGTTTGCTGCTGTGGTGGGAGAAGCACTGCTCTCTGCTTCTGTGAAGACCTTACTAGATAGGATCACCTCAAGCGAGCTTCGAGACTTACATGAAGAATAGAAAGCTGAATGTCTCTCTCTTGGATGAGTTGAAGATAACTTTAATCATGTGACGACTTTTTCAAATAGTTATCTCTCTTCCTCCTTATAGTATTCCCAGAATATCCCAGTAGAGTAGTCAAAGTCAATTAAGTTTCCAATCAACTGTTCTCACAGTCAATGTAAACCATCTTTAAATCCATTGCAACTTATCAAACTCTTCTCACTCTCAAAATATCTCACACCTCATTACCTGAGTTCTTGTCCAAGATAAAGCATGGACGCAGCAGTACTAGGAGCCTTTCTCTCTCCGACCTTCCAGACCATACTAGACATTATCACCTCAAGTAAATTTCGAGATTTTGTTGAGGATAGAAACCTGAATGTTTCACTCTTGGATGAGCTGAAGATAACTCTCATTATCCTTGATGCTATTCTCAATGATGCTGAAGAGAAGCAAATCACTAGCCCTGCTGTCAAGAAATGGCTTGAAGAGTTGAAAGATGCCGCTTATGATGCAGAGGATTTATTAGATGAAATCAACACTGACTCTCTCAGATGGCAGGTGGAACAAGATTCTGATGAAGGCGTTGCTGATAAGGTGCATTCTTTCCTTTCTTATACTTTTGGTGATTGCTACTGGGACATGAACATGAAGCTTGAAGCAATTTACCGAAGGCTTAAACACTTCGCTGAACAAAAGGATTTCCCTCATTTGCAAAGTGTTAGCCGGAGGGCTCATAAAACAACTGCTACTTCATTAATAAATGAATCTGTTGTAGTTGGTAGAGAGGATGATAAGGAGAAACTGTTGAAAATGCTTGTGCGTGATGAAAATGCAGAGGGTAATGATATAGGAGTGATCACTATCTGGGGCATGGGTGGGGTAGGTAAAACTACCCTTGCTCAACTCCTTTACAATGATGAGGAAGTGCAGAAGCATTTTGATTTGAAGGCTTGGGCATGTGTTTCAGAAGATTTCAATGCCTTTGAGGTGACCAAGAATATTCTAGAATCTGTCACTTCAAAAGCCTATAATAGTAAAAATCTAGATTTCCTTCGAGTTGAACTGAAAAATAGCTTGAAGGATAACAAGTTTTTGATTGTATTTGATGATATATGGAATGAGAAATATAGTGATTGGGATGATCTAGTTTCTCCTTTTCGCAATGGAAAAGGGGGAAGTAAAATCATTGTCACAACTCGCCAACAAAGAGTTGTTGAAATCACACATACATTTCCTCCGTATAAATTGTCAACTCTCTCAAATGAAAATTGTTGGTTTTTAATTGCCAAGCATGCCCTTAAAATTGAGGATCATAAGAAGCATCCAAAGCTAGAAGCAATTGGAAGGAAAATTGCAAGGAAATGTTGTGGTCTACCAATTGCTGCTAGATCAATTGGAGGTCTCTTGCGTTCAAAAGCGGATGAAAAGGAATGGTGTAAAATTCTAAATAGTAATGTGTGGGACATACCAAGTGACGATGTTTTACCTTCTTTATATTTGAGTTATGTTTATCTTCCGCCACATTTAAAGAAATGTTTTGCTTTTTGCTCAATTTTTCCAAAAGATCACTTATTGGATAGGAAGCAATTGGTCTTGTTATGGATGGCTGAAGGTTTTGTACAACAATACTCCCAAGGGAAGATATTGGAGATAGAATCAGATAACTGCTTTAATGAATTACTATCTAGATCCTTCATTCAACAGCATGAAGGTGATCCAGAAAAGTTCATCATGCATGATCTCATCATTGATTTAGCCAGAGTTGTGTCTGGTAACAGTTGTCTTTGGTTAGAAGGAGACAAAATTCCAAAAAATGTTCGCCATTTATCGTATCCTAGACAAGGATATGATGGTTTTAAAATGTTTGAGGTCTTTTATCACCAAAATTCTTTGAGGACTTTTCTACCCCAAAAAACTTGGGCATTTATAAATTCATTTGTCTTGAGCAAAAAGGTCTCACATGATTTGTTGCCAAAACTAAAGTGTCTGAGAGTATTGTCTTTGTCTATGTATTCCAACATCACTGAGCTACCTGATTCAATTGGCAATTTGCAACATTTGCGATATCTTGATCTTTCCCACACCAAAATCACAAGGTTGCCTGATGCGACCTTCACACTTTGCAATTTGCAAACTTTGCTCTTATCATATTGCAAGTCTTTCAATGAATTGCCCAGGAGCATAGAAAAGCTGATCAATCTACGTCACTTGGACATTAGTGGCACTGCATTGAAGGAGATGCCGGCACAAATCACCAAACTACAAAATCTTCATAGTATGAGTACTTTTGTGGTGGGAAAACAATCAGATGGATTGAGAATTAGGGAGTCAAAAAAGCTACCTCATCTTGAAGGTAAGCTTTCCATTTTGAAGTTACAAAATGTGCTTGATCCCATTGATGCTTTTGAGGCAAACTTGAAGATGAGAGAGAAAATTGAGGAGTTAGTTTTGGAATGGGATAGTGATTCTCAGTATTCACCAACAATAGTGCAAAATGTACTTAACATGTAATGACCCCAACAAAAATTTAAACTAAATAAATAAATATATATAGGATAACTTACTTAAAGTGTGTTTATATTAATTTTTGGGATAAATATAACAAGTTAGAGACTTGGTCTAGTGGCAGCTGAGCAACCTTTCATATATAAGGTCCCAAGTTCGAATTTGGAAGAGACCAAAAGCAGAGTCAAAATTTTCTTTTTTGCTGGCCGTGCGAAATTACCAAACTGCCCTTAGCTTCATCTGATATTTGTAACTCTTCCTTCTTCTTTCTTGGTCATTCCAGAGCAGAAGCTCCGCGAGAGAGAGAGAGAGAGTTTCATCGTTCCTTTTCTCTCTGTGTTCGTTGGCCGGTGACTGTGGGTGCGTCTCTCGCCTTGGTCGCTGGAGATCGAAAAAAAAAGAAGAAGAAAGAGAGAGATCTGAGATTGGACGAATCTTGCTTAGCCTTTCGTGGTCACTGCTTTCTTCCCTTCCACCGTAGCTGGACCTGCGTTCGCGTAGCTCATCGTCGCTGGTGTGCTCGTGGCTGGTCCTTCCATTTCGGTTACGAGCTCAGCGTTCCACCATGTTAAGTCGTTGAAATGGGTACTGCTGGTTTAGGCTGAGGCGACACTGACTCTGGTTTTCTTTTCTTCTGAACGGTGCTGCGTCTCCCTCTGTTTCTTGCATCAGCTGGAGAGTTCCGTTTTTCTCCCCTGTTTTGCTGTAGATTCTATCTTCTTTGCTGCCTCTGCCATTACTGGTGTTTAAGGTAAGAAATTTAAGGACTTTTCTTGCTGAATTTATGTGGGAGGGAGAGTTCTGTTTGAGGACTAAAATTATAAAAAAAATTTGGTGGGTGTTCTGTTGTTGCCTTGACCGAAAAATGTGTATATATATATATATATCTGGACTGAAATCGAAAGAGACAAACTTGGATATATGATTGGTACCTATAAGATGTCATTGAAGGGCTTATATGAGGAGATAAAAAAAAAATTTGACCTCTAATTGTTGATGGGAATTATTAGTTTAGAAATTCTCTTGTAGCTTTGTAAAGGAATTTAATTATGGGCTTGCACACAATCATGTGTATATTTAGAGTTTGTTTGATTTTTGGTGAATGGTTAAAGGCTTAGGATTGAGGAGGTAGAAGTAATGCACCTAAGGTAAATGATACAAAGATTGGGAGAAAACTCCTATTCCATGGAAATATTATGGCATGGTTAAAGTTTTATGAAGAAAGTAAGAGAAATTAATGATAATGCTTGAATTAACTTTAAATTGTAAATTTGGGTTTTGAGATTTTAATGGTGGTTAGTGAAGGTTGTGTTATAAATTAAAATTTTATATATTTATATTTTATATTTTATAGGGTGTGTGGAAGAACAAGACCCTGAAAAGACTTAAAAGAAGAATACTTTCGGGAGTTAGAACTTCAACAGGTAAGTGAATAGCATTCCTTATAATTATTTATTAAAAACCTTTTTATTGAAATATTTCATTTTTATTAATTATGTTAGTTTTAGAAATTTTGAAACAATGATGAAAGACAGTTACATTATAATTTGTGCATTTTCTCAAGAAATATATTTCTAATATTGATGAAAGCACATTTGCTTATTGAATTTTGAAATTTTCTTGGTTACATGATTAGTACAAGTTTGTACATTCATTATGATGTATCGATTTGGCAAGTTTCATATATTTGAAGTAATTCATGCGAGTTTGATCTTGATAATGAAAGTTTGAACTCAAAAATGATTATTTCCCTCGCATGTTTGAAACAGGATTTCTAAGAGAACTCGAAACAGAACACTGCTGCTAACGGCAGTTTCGTTAGCCCGTAGCGCGCTGTGGTTAAATACTAGCTAGTTTGTTTCGTGAGTTTTATTCTCACGTTTGGTATTCGTGGGCTTCGTACCCGCGTTTGATTTCGTGGCCTGAGCCGCGTTTGGTTACTTACCCTCGTGGGCTGTGTGTCCACGTTTGTTTCGTAGCTTCGGCTGCGTTTGGTTACTTACCCTCGTGGATTGATGTGTCCACGTTTGTTTTCGTGGCATAAGCCGCGTTTGGTTATTTACCCTCGTGAACTGTGTGTTCACGTTTGTAACTTGTTCTGCTGAGTTCTCAGAAATTTGAATGTTAATTAATATGCATTTTCAAAATTTACCTGATTTTGATAAATAATGGGTGTTGTTTTGAGTTTTATGAGAGCAGATTAACTTCTTTTAGCACGATAACATAAATTGTTTTCACTTCATTCTTATTTTACAAAAATGATTATGACTTACATGCTTATAAATTTTGGTGAAATTACTTTCAATTTCTTGACACCATTAATAGAGATTGTCAAGTTAAATTTTAAAAATTTTATCATGGGAATGCTATTCACTGGAAAAAATTTATTTGGCCTCAGATTGGTTAGCTGACGCCGATTCCACCAACGACCTCAAAAAGGGGCAACTAGCTACAGTAGGTGGATCCTTTTGATTGGTATTGCCACTTTAATGTAAATATATGAATTGTATGTCTTTTTGAATCGAAAGAAAGAGTAGATGCTCCACATAGGTTGTTGATGAATCTTTTTTTGCCTGTACATTGGTTGCTGGCTGGAAGGAGCTATGCTCCTGACTTATACTGTTAGTTGTAAAAATTTTTGTTGTAGAATTTTCGGGAGATCCTAGTTACAGGGGAGGTTCTGCCGAAATTTCTGCAAATATGTCAACATTTTAAAAAAAAATGAAAAAAAAATGAATGACATGAAATCAATGTTCATTTGGAGGCTTACGGGAATGTGAGAATGGTTCGTACCCGTGCCGGTCACCCTTTATTTTGGGGCGTGACATAACATGATGCAACCTTCAACAAAGTTACAGAGATTGACCATCAACCATTATGGTGGCCGGAGCTTTCCAAATTGGGTTGGAGATTCTTCATATACAAATGTTACCTTTTTATGCATAAGCAATTGCAAAGATTGCTCATCACTTCCACCATTGGGACAATTACCTTCTCTTAAAAAGCTTTCAATTCAAGAAATGACTTCTATAAAGATAGTTGGGCATGAGTTCTATTGCAATCAAACAAAGTCCTCTCCATTTCATCCATTCCCGTCATTGGAAAGTCTAAAATTTGAAAATATGCTAGCTTGGGAGCAATGGTTACCATTTGAAGGTGAGGGTACCGAATTTCCTTTTCATAGTCTCAAACATCTGCATTTGAATAATTGTCCTAAGCTGAGGGGAGACGTGCCCAACAAGCTTCCATCATTGAGAAAGGTTGATATATTACACTGCAATCAGTTGGGAGCTAAATTATCAGCATTGAAATGGATTACTTCAATTCAAAAATTGAATGTTAACCAAGGGGGAAAGGACTTCTTGAGGGCTATTGAAAATGATTCACTAGACTCAATGAAACGTCTAAGAATCATTAATTGTTCCAACTTGCAATTTTTGCCCAGAATGATGCCGGGTTGTCAATACCTTCAAAAATTGTATCTCAAAAGTATCCCATCCATAGAGTCCTTCACAATTGATGGTTTGCCCATTTCATTGCGACGACTCAAAATTGAAGATTGTGGGAAATTAGAACTCCCACCTCGGAATCTTGGCAAAACTACACTAGACTTGAATATTTGCTGATTAGAAATAGTTGTGATTCCTTGACATCCTTTCCATTAGGTTGTTTTCCTAAGCTTAAAATTTTGGTGGTTGAAAGTTGTCGTGATTTGGTAACCTTTACACAAGTTAGGGGGTCTTCTCCTACCTTAGAATCTCTTGTTCTCTCAGATTGCAAACAACTCAGATCAATGTCTGAAGTGCAGATTGATTCCCTCGTTACCCTTAAATACTTCTCTCTTTCTCAGCTTCCGAATTTGGAATCATTGCCTCAATGTGGTTTGCCTTCTAACTTGCAATCATTTTTCATTGTTGACTGTGAGCGACTATCTTCCGTGCCTATAAAAGACTGGGGTTTCCAACGGTTGGCTTCTCTCTCAGGACTTCAGGTTAAAGGTGATGGAAGTGAAAGGATTCTCTGTAATTTATTGAAGCATCAATTATTGCCCACTTCTCTCATGCGTATCGACATATGCGATTTCTCCAATCTTAAATTGTTAGATGGAAAAGGGCTTCGATGCATTACTTCTTTAGAAGAGCTTTACATCTCAGACTGTCCACAGCTTGAATCCTTGCCAGAAGATGAGCTGCCATCCTCTCTTTTGGAGCTGAATATCTCTGGTTGCCCTAAATTACTTAAAAGGTATGATTTTCAAAGAGGACGACACTTGTCCAAGATTGCTCATATTCCTACTGTACAAATACATGGCAAATATTATGATCCTTGGGAAGCATCACAAGGTGAGCTCTTAACTTATAAGAATTGACAAGATTCAAAAGCAGTGTTTCCTTATTTGGCTCAGTATAATGTAATATTTATGCTTAATTAGATGCATATGCATGAAGCGTGACATGAAAATATGTATCCTTATCACATGGGGTCATTTTATATTTGACAGGTCTCTCGTTAGTTTGTTAAGCTCAGTTCACTAGTCCAAATATGCTACATTCTGTGTTAGTTAAATAGATATTTCCGCTTCACTAGATGTATTGAAATAAAAATAAGTGTAGCAAATAATATTAATTTTCCCCTCTGTTATCTAACTGATGTCATCATAATTGCATTTACGATGTAGGTTATAAAAGTAAGTGACGATGTAAATTGCTAAACATGATTAAATTGGCATTTTGCACAAGTGTGGCTTTCTTATAAGAGTATATATTATTCAATTAATTTACAATATTGCCACTATAGTCATTACTATACTTTAGTTGGAAAAGGAAGTGACGTGTGAAAATAGTGACATCAAATTGGCATTTTGCACTATGTAATGTGAGGTGTTATGTGAGTGTGACATTCTGATTTTATATGACTCGTACATAAACATTATGTTAGCGGTGAGCAAATCAAAGTTTGACTTCATCCATACTTTCTTTTTCATGGAACATTTCTTTTTAATGATGAGCAACTTGTTTGAAAATTTCATGAACAGAATGTACTAGGCTTTCAATGGACGAAGGTGAGGGAAGCAGTATAACTCTTGAGCTTCCAAATAGAAGAGATCTATTGGAAGCAAAAAGCAAGTAAGAAGCTAATGCAAATGTTCAGGCCAAACAATATACATACATATAGATATATAGTTCGTCTTGTATGGTGTTTTATGTGTAGTTTTATAAAATATCTAAAAGTATGTAAATCGTTGTCATATACTTAATTTGCTTTGATGTATAATATCAGGTTAAAAGAAATGAAAGGGGATCAGGACGATTTGCGACTGTTTTGGTAGAGAGGCTGCTGGTAAGAAAATAACTATTTCATATATAATACACGTTGTTTCCTTCCAAATTTGGAATCATTGACACAATGTGATTTGCCTTCTAATTTCCTTTTCATTTCCGCAACACACATCAATAAATTAAATTTTGGTCTTCTCTTCATGATCATCCATCAACATTAATTATAGGAAACATCTTTCCTACATCATATTATTTGCTCAGCCAGGACCATCAATGCTTTTGCAATTTTTTTTTTTTAACGTCTAATCCTGTGAAACATGTGATTTAGTTTAAAGTACTATACTTTCTCTTCAAAATAATAACAATAATATCACTACTATGGTTATATTTGTCATACTATTTGTGCACATATGAACAATGAGAGAATTATTGATCACATCATTTGTAGTTTGAGATGGTCAATTAATTATAAAGTGACCAGAGTTAACTATAAAAGTTGAAAAGATTTTGGACGATATTTAATTATTTGGCTCAATATTGCTATATTAATTAATATCTATGCGTGATTATGTATTTATGAATTAATGAAGTTTGATTTTAACCCTATATATAATGAGATGTAAGTTATGATCTCTCTCTCTCTCTCTCTCTCTCTCTCTGTGTGCGCGCGCGCCTGCCTGTCTATCTGTGTGAGTGTGTATGTGTGTCTGTCTGTGTGTGAGATATAACATTAATTTTTTTAATTCTATAAGATTTATTGTTTTGATAAATCAGGCTCTGAGAAGATGAGGAAGCAGTAAAAAAGAGACAGATATGATATGTAGCGAATGTAGATAAGAAGCTAACTCAGTTGCTGAAGCTTAGCAACAGTTCTGTTTTTTTTTAAATGTTAAATGAATTTTTTTTTTTATTGAAGAATGTAAAAGGATTTCAATGGATCTGATTCTTTGTTAGACTTGCATAATTACCTAAATTGTAGATATGAAAGTATAATTTGAGATTCACCTTGAAGAATTTTTCTTAAGGTTTTATGCCATCCATAAATTTGGAAGAATGATAGTTAGGTTTCAAAATTACTTGAATGTATTTTTATCTTCCTCGTGCTTTTTTCATAAGAGGATCAAAGTTCATCTGATATCAAAAACCACTTGAGGAATATTCAATCAATTATATACTATCCAGCATATTGGGTCATATTGCATTAGCTCATATCCCAAAACTTGAATGCAGAAAGAAGGCTAGCAAACATGAGGCCCAAGCCCAACCGAAGCGACCCAATCTCATTTTGCAATGTTGTTCAATGCGTTTTTTTTTATAGGCCTGAAATTTAATGGGTGTTTCCCAAACAAAAATGATGGATTTAAAAACTCCCTAAAACAAACAAAAGTTGTGGAATTCCATGGCCTAATTATTACACATTGCGTTATTGTTATCTTAAATAAGAAGCACAAGCCCAGTCAGAGATCATTAGAAAACTATGTCAATAGCATGGGCATGTTTTGTGGATCTTAGCGACTAGGCAGAGATCATTTTTCTTGTGTACGGTTATTCCTGGTATGCACTCTGTGTCGATGTCTTGCTCCACCATACCAGCAGGCAATTCCCAATCAAAAGATCGAACAAGATTAGCAAGTGCAAGCTCCACGTTGGTTACTCCCATTTGCATTCCGGGACAAATCCTACGTCCAGCTCCAAATGGAATCAGCTCAAAATCATGCCCTTTGTAGTCAACTGAACAGTTGAAAAACCTTTCTGGATAAAATCGTTCTGGCTCTTCCCATGTCTCCGGGTCTCTTGCTATAGCCCATGCATTCACCAAAACTAGAGTTCTTGGTTCAATCTTGTACCCTTCTATGTTGCACCTTCCCATGGATTCTCTTGGCACAAGTAGAGGCACAGGTGAGAACAGTCTCAGAGTCTCCTTCACCACCGCTTTGAAATAAGGAAGCCTTTCTATATCATCCTCACTTGTAAAATCTTTCTCGCCGCACAACATTCTGATTTCATCTTGTACCTTTTTCATCACTCTGGGATTCTTCATCAATGCAGTCATCGCCCAAACTACAGTCGCTGCACTCGTGTCTGTTCCTGCTACAAATATATTCTGCATCCATGCATGAGCAACTGAATAACCTTTACAAAAAGACTATATATTACAATGGAGTGCAGAAAATAAGGATAGTTTTACCATGAGCAAAGCTTTGATGTGATCCAAAGTGAGAACAACTGAGGTTGAAGGAGCATTCATTATTTGAAGAAATACATCAATGATGTCTTGTTGGTCGGTTTGAGGTTCTCTTGGATTCATGTGCTCGTTGATGACATGTTCGTAGAACATGTCGAGCTGCTTGCAGGTTTTATCCAATCGATTGAGAAGCCCTCTGAGTCTATCAACCCACCCCAACCATGGCACATAGTCTGAGAAGAAGAATTCCGCCATCAAAGCCTGAGCTTCGTTTAGCAGTCCATGAAATCTGCTTCTCTCACTCACTTCATCTTTCACACCATACCTATTCCCGAAAGCAATCCTACAAATTAAAGTGCTTGTGAAAGACATCAACGTCTCGCTCAAGTTGATCACTCTGTAAGAAGCAGCAGATTGAGATACCTTCCGAATCATTCGCACAACCTCGTCTTCCCGTATGGGACGAAAGGACTGCATGCGCCTAGAACTAAACAGCTGGAGGACACACAATTTTCTCATTTCTCTCCAATAGTCACTGTAGGGAGTGAAAGCCAGGTCTAAGCCATTGTACGACAATTTCCGTTGACCAAGCATGGAGGGTCTGCTAGCAAATACGAGGTCGTGAGTTTTCATGACTTGTTTGGCTATTCTGGCAGAGGAAACAACTATGGTGGGCTTGATGCCAAAGCGCAGGAACATGAGAGGACCATATTGCTTGGAGAGATGACACAACTGGCGATGTGGACCAGAGCCAAGAAGCTGGTGAAGATTGCCGATGAGAGGAAGACCTGGAGGACCTGGTGGAAGATTTTCTCCTGTTCGTGTTGTTCTGTAGATAAGAAACAGGAAGAAGATAGATGAGAAGAGAATGAAAAGCAACTCCATGTCTGTGATGCAATGCAAATTGGCTGTGGAGCTAAGTACTTGATTCCAAAGTTATATATAACTATATATAGAAGTGGTGAGGAATGGTTTTGCAATCTAAAAACGAAAAAAGTAAAATGGTCAGCATTTTTGTGTGTGTGTGGAAAAGCTAGTCTCGGTGGGGAAAGGACTTGATCAGATTTGGAGATCTATTTATAAAATTTTATTGATATTAAATGGATATTATTTTATAAAAAATTTCATCCAATTCTGAAATTGGACGTAAAACTTGTGCGTTTGTTGGCATAATTTACGTCAGCCAGCTGGAAGTTTCTTTCCTTCCCTTTTTCCCCTTACCATGAAAAATTCTCATTTCATTTACATTGAAGGCCGAATAGCGAAGATTACAGGCTACAAACCAAAAGCAGCAGTGAAAAAAGGTGAAAGGGCAAAGTAAATAGAGATGCATGCAACACAAGCTGAACATGGCAAAGAAAAGAGCAACACAATGCAGAGATGAGAGAAAATGTAACTGAGAAACTAAAACAGAAAACGAGCTGCAAAAGAACATTGGTTATTGACAGTGCCTTCCCTGCTCCTCAACAGTGACTTCTTGGCAAGAATCCAACGCAAACTTCTAATTAATAACGCAGACCAGTGGCTAATAAGAGAGGGATAATGATGTGTGGAGAAGTGTGGAGAAGAAGCAACTTGTTGGTTGGATGCTCATGACTCATGAGATTGACTTGGGCATGCGATACGGATTGTAATTGGAATCAACGTAATTATCTTCTCTTTTTCTCCCACCTTCTTGTTTTTTTCATCATTTTCCACCATCCTTTATCTTCCATCAAATCCGGCAGGCCGTGACCAAGAATAAGCTTCAGTTATGAGACCATCTCACACACACAATGTCAAAATCTAAGGATCTAGCTGGGAGAAGCACGTGATCCTATCTCATCTATGAATATAATTATGCATTAATTTTCATCAACTTTTTCAGCGGCGACAAAATTTGAAAAAATATAGCTATATATAATTTGGCAGTGCATATCTAATCATACGTGGCCGTTCTCTGATTTTGCATCAGCAAGACTAGAGTCTAGACCAGAGGATGAGCGCGCATGCTGGCTTCATAGTGAAAAAACACAACACAACACATAAAAATAATGCGGCAGTGCCCCTTCGCTTGTGGCATTGCTGTCCTTGTTCACGTGAAATGGTGTCAGTCATATATATATCTATATACAGACAGGACACCATTTATTACATATATATCAAAATATCATAATTTTATTAAAATTTTTATTAATAATTTTTAAGTTGAAAAAATAATTTTATCATCATTGACACGTTATAATTTTTTGTATAATTTTTAAATTTTTTTTAAAAATTACTATTTTTTAAATAAAAATTATGATTGAGACTTGTTATTTTTAAGAACTTATTTTTTAATAATAAAAATTACATTTGAGAAATTGTGATTTCTTAGTCAACTCTTGCAATTTAAAGAACAAAAATTAATATTTCGTCAAGCAAAAATTGTAATTGCAGCTTGTTAATTTAAGAAATTATTTTTCAATAACAAAAATTACATTTAAGAAGTTATGATTTCATAATCAACTCTTGCAATTTAAAGAACAAAAATTATTATTCCCTCAAGCAAAAATTGTGATTGGAGCTTGTTATTTTAAGAACTTATTTTTTAATAATAAAAATTACACTTGATAAGTTATTTTGAGTATTTGGGTGCTTCGAATGTTTTTGCTGCCTAGCTTTCTCAAGAGCAATTTCTAGTGAACTACTTCTTACATTTGTTTTATTAGTTTTGGGTGAGTTGGATAAAACCATGTACGCTAATTTTAGGTGAGTTGTGTAAAAACCTTTGTCAAAATTGTGTGTGAGCTCATTATATAACTTATAGGGATTGTACTTGAATTTTTATAATGGGAAAATCTCTTGGGTATTTATCAAGAGGACTGGACGTAGGTCAGGGGACCAAACCAGGATAATTTTGTGGTGCATGATTCTCTCTCTTTCATTTTCTCTCGTTTATAAACTAACTATTTATTTACACATTTCATCTCACACATAAACACTGTCATGATTTTTTGAACTTAATATAATGAAATCAATATTGGTACTGGCTTGCAGACTGAAAAATCACAATTAAAGAAGACAAAAATCATTAAAACTTAGTGATTTCCTGTCAATTAATATCAGCTTTACGTTCTCATATTTTCTATTACCATTATTGTGATTTATTTTATTCAACTTATTTTGAGAATTAATACGTGAATAGTTTGTGTGCACATTAAAGAGATTTCTTTCTTATATAGGATATAAAACTTAATTGGTTAACATAATTCTTGAATAGCATCCCTAGACTTTCAAGTCCTTTATTGGCTCATGAGACATGTCTGTTTGTTTGTTGTAAGTGAATTTTAATTTTCTTTGTCTATGATAACTTATTAATAATTTGTTTAGCCATATGGTATCAAGCTCAATCCCAAACTCATTATTTGTACCTAACGAAAAAATATGGCAATATTAGACTTGCATATTTACCTAAATTGTAGATATGAAAGTATAATTTAAGATTCACCTTGAATAATTTTGTTTAATGTTTTATGCCACTAATAAATTTGGAAGAATGACAGTAAGGTCTCAAAATTACTTGATTTTATTTTTATCTTTCTCTTAGTTTTTATCCTAATGAAGAAAGTCAAGGTTCATCTCATAGCATAAACCACTTGAGGAATATTCAATCAATTATATATTATGGGTCATATTACATAAATTCATATAAAAAAGATGAGCTTGAGCCTAAATTTTGAATGGAGCAAGAAGGCCAGCTTGCAAGAGGCCCAAGCCTAACCAAAGCTACCCAATCTTATTTTGCAATGTTTTCCAATCTTTTTTTAAAGCCTGAAATTTCATGGGGTTTTCCCAAACAAAAATCATGGATTTAAAAACTCCCTAAAACAAAGTTTGTAGAACATGAATTCCATGGCCTAATTATCACACATTAAATAAGAAGTACAAGCCCAGTCAAAAAAAAAAAAAAACCCAATGACTGTTTCCCAAAAGTTTACGTTACAATATTGTATTCTATTCTCTTTTTTCTTCATTTCCAAATAAATCTTTTTTTTTTTCGCCAGACATGTGAATATTGTTAGTGTTTGAATAGATGATAAAGGATAGCGTAGAATGAAGTGACTAAAAAAGACTGGGTCATTGAGAATTTTGTTAATATTATTAGGTTTATTGAGAGCGTTTGATAATTATTCTCTGAACTCTCTATCAAAATGTGTTAAAACAGTTTGCAATCTTCGCCAAGAATGATAATGAGTTGCCATTATCTTCAAGAGTTGCTTCTCATTGGTGTCCCCTCAATCATGTCCTTCCCAGGCTTAAAAGACTTGAGGTTTATCATTGTCATAATAGGTAAGTATGCAGAATGTTATTGGCATTCAGTGAGCAGATTAAAGGTCAAAAGTTCCCTGAAAACTCCTCAGATCAGGAAATGGTTAAAATAGTTATGTCTCGGTGAGTTTGGGTTTCTTTGCTATAGATAGAACATACATTTTATAATAGTCTTTGCTGGCAAGATATATTAATTGTGAATTTGAAATTAGATACATAGTTTGTTCAGGAGCATTTTTTTATGCTAAGAAGTGCCATGTAGGCAAAAAAACTTTTACTTTTGCTGTATTTAGCACTGAAGCATGACTGGTTCTCAATTAATGAAATTCAGGGGATTGGAAGAGCTATTCTGCACTGTTTCTCACATAATTATTTCATATTAATACTTTCTTTAAAGACATGTCGTTTCTATGAGAAACCATAGGTTCTGGTAAAATATGGTTGAATTACTCTATCAGTCTAATTTTTGCTAAGATCATTCCGACCTGGTGCAAGTCACTATTCGGTTAGGTTGAAGCAATTGGTGTTGAAAATAGTTAAGTACATATCCTGCTTTGTTGGTTGTGTCGTTTGGACCATAACTTCATAGTAAGTCTAGATTGGCAGAAATTGCTCTTAAGATAAGTCCAATTTATGACAGAAGAAAATGGATTTCCTCTACAATTTTTGCTCGTAAACTTCTGGTGAGTGAATGCCCAAGAGGTCCACTTTCCAGCCTTCATCCTCTAGGGATTATCCAGAAGGTCATAAGGCAGAATTTCAGCAGACCAACTCCTCAAACAAGCCACAACCTACTGCTATGCTCAAACCACCATCCAATGCTGCCAAGGAATCTGGTTCTAAAGCAATCAAATGCTTTAAATGCCAAGGATTTGGCCACATTGCTGTGGACTGTCCTACTCGAAAGGTTGTTACCATTCGAGAAGGATCAGGGTATGAAGCACTTGAAGAAGATAAGGAGGACGCTGAGTTCTACGACATTGATCCCGTATATGACGAGGAGGTCACACCTGCTAATCAAGGAGAAGCATTGGTGCTTAGACGAAGTCTGCATACAACAGTAGTCAAAGAAGAACCTTGGCTACGGCGCAACATTTTTTACACTCGTTGCATGGCCGAAGGAAAAGTTTGTAATGTCATCATTGACAGTAGAAGCTGTGAAAATGTAGTATCTAACTACATGGTGGAGAAGTTGAAGTTGCCAACACAAGATCATCCACAACCTTACAAGCTTCACTAGCTCAACAAAGAGAATGAGGTAAAAGTTTCTAAACAATGCCTTGTGATCTTTTCTATTGGGAATCGATATTGTGATGAAGTTTTATGTGATGTTGTTCCCATGGATGCATGCCACCTTCTCTTGGGGAGGCCATGGCAATATGACCGACATGCTATGCACAACGGGCGAGCCAACACTTATTCTTTTACAAAAGATGGTGTCAAGTTCACACTAGCGCCTCTACCACCCAGTGAGATTAGCCAATCTTCAAGGAATCTAGTGTCTCTAAGCCATTAGTGTCTTTGTTGACTAAGGAGGAATTCAAAGTATCGAAATTCGAAGCCCAAATGATGAGCTTTATTCTGGTGCTTGAGGTGAACGACAAGACGGTCAATCCACCTAGAGTCATTCCGCTATTGTTAGAATTTTCAGATGTAATATCTGATGACATACCACCAGGGTTGCCTCTAATGCGAGACATACAGCATGCCATTGACTTCGTTCCAAGAGCAGTCATTCCTAATAAGCTTGCTTACAGGATGAGTCCCCAAGAACATGCCGAAGTCCAACGACAAGTTGAAGAGTTGTTGAAGAAAGGGTTAGTTCGAGAAAGTGTCAGCCCTTGTGCTGTACCTGTTCTTCTAGTACCTAAGAAGGATGGGAGTTGGAGAATGTGTATTGACTGCCGAGCCATCAACAAGATCACTATTAAGTATCGGTTTCCGATACCTCGACTTGATACTATGTTAGACCAGTTGCATGGTGCCACTACTTTCTCCAAAATTGACCTTCGTAATGGGTACCATCAAATTAGAATTCAGCCAGGAGATGAGTGGAAGACTGCTTTC